CTCACTCACACCTCACTCCCCTCACACCTCACTCCTCACTCACACCTCACTCCTCACTCACACCTCACTCCCCTCACTCCTCACTCACACCTCACTCCTCACTCCCCTCACTCCTCACTCACACCTCACTTCTCACTCACACCTCACTCCTCACACACACCTCACTCCCCTCACTCGTCACTTACACCTCACTCCCCCAACTCCTCACTCACACCTCACTCATCACTCACACCTCACTCCCCTCACTCCTCACTCACTCCACACTCACACCTCACTCACACCTCACTCCCCTCCCTCCTCACTCCTCACTCACACCTCACTCCCCTCACTCCTCAATCACACCTCACTCACACCTCACTCTTCACTCACACCTCACTCCTCACTCACCCCTCACACACCTCACTCACACCTCACTCACACCTCACTCCCCTCACTCCTCACTCACACCTCACACCTCACTCACACCTCACTCCCCTCACACCTCACTCCTCACTCACACCTCACTCCTCACTCACACCTCACTCCTCACTCAAACCTCACTCCCCTCACACCTCACTCACACCTCACTCCTCACTCACACCTCACTCCTCACTCACACCTCACTCCCCTCACTCCTCACTCACACCTCACACCTCACTCACACCTCACTCCTCACTCACACCTCACTCCTCACTCACACCTCACTCCTCACTCCTCACTCACACCTCACTCACACCTCACAACTCACTCACACCTCACTCACACCTCACTCCCTTCACTCCTCACTCACACCTCACTCCCCTCACTCCTCACTCACACCTCACTCCCCTCACTCACATCTCACTCACACCTCACTCCTCACTCACACCTCACTCCTCACTCACACCTCACACTCCTCACACACCTCACTCCTCACTCACCCCTCACACGCCTCACTAACACCTCACTCCCCTCACACCTCACTCACACCTCAATCACACCTCACTCCTCACTCACACCTCACTCACACCTCACTCTCCTCACACCTCACACACAGCACTCACACCTCACTCCCCTCACACCTCACTTGTCACTCACACCTCACTCCTCACTCACACCTCACTCTTCACTCACACCTCACTCTCCTCACTCCTCACTCACACCTAACTCCCCTCACACCTTACTCCTCACTCACACCTCACTCCTCACTCACACCTCACTCCCCTCACTCCTCACTCACACCTCACTCACACCTCACTCCCCTCACACCTCACCCACACCTCACTCCTCAATCACACCTCACTCCTCACTCACACCTCACTCAAACCTCACTCCTCACTCACACCTCACTCCCCTTTCTCCTCACTTCTCACTCACACCTCACTCCTCAATCACACCTCACTCACAACTCACTCCCCTCACTCCTCACTCCTCACTCACACCTCACTCCTCACTCCCCTCACTCCTCACTCACACCTCACTTCTCACTCACACCTCACTCCTCACACACACCTCACTCCCCTCACTCGTCACTTACACCTCACTCCCCCAACTCCTCACTCACACCTCACTCATCACTCACACCTCACTCCCCTCACTCCTCACTCACTCCACACTCACACCTCACTCACACCTCACTCCCCTCCCTCCTGACTAACACCTCACTCCCCTCACTCCTCACTCACACCTCACTCCCCTCACACCTCACTCCTCACTCACACCTCACTCCTCACTCACACCTCACTCCCCTCACTCCTCACTCACACCTCACTCACACCTCACTCCCCTCACACCTCACCCACACCTCACTCCTCAATCACACCTCACTCCTCACTCACACCTCACTCAAACCTCACTCCTCACTCACACCTCACTCCCCTTTCTCCTCACTCCTCACTCACACCTCACTCCTCACTCACACCTCACTCACAACTCACTCCCCTCACTCCTCACTCCTCACTCACACCTCACTCCTCACTCCCCTCACTCCTCACTCACACCTCACTTCTCACTCACACCTCACTCCTCACACACACCTCACTCCCCTCACTCGTCACTTACACCTCACTCCCCCAACTCCTCACTCACACCTCACTCATCACTCACACCTCACTCCCCTCACTCCTCACTCACTCCACACTCACACCTCACTCACACCTCACTCCCCTCCCTCCTCACTCATCACTCACACCTCACTCCCCTCACTCCTCAATCACACCTCACTCACACCTCACTATTCACTCACACCTCACTCCTCACTCACCCCTCACACACCTCACTCACACCTCACTCACACCTCACTCACACCTCACTCCCCTCACTCCTCACTCACACCTCACTCACACCTCACTCCCCTCACACCTCACTCCTCACTCACACCTCACTCACACCTCACTCTTCACTCAAACCTCACTCCCCTCACACCTCACTCACACCTCACTCCTCACTCACACCTCACTCCTCACTCACACCTCACTCCCCTCACTCCTCACTCACACCTCACACCTCACTCACACCTCACTCCTCACTCACACCTCACTCCTCACTCACACCTCACTCCTCACTCACACCTCACAACTCACTCACACCTCACTCACACCTCACTCCCCTCACTCCTCACTCACACCTCACTCCCCTCACTCCTCACTCACACCTAACGCCCCTCACTCCTCACTCACACCTCACTCCTCACGCACACCTCACTCACTCCTCACTCCCCTCACTCCTCACTCACTCCTCACTCACACCTCACTCCCCTAACACCTCACTCCTCACTCCCCTTACTCCCCTCACACCTCACTCCTCACTCCTCACTCACACCTCACTCCCCTCACACCTCACTCCTCACTCCTCACTCACACCTCACTCACACCTCACTACCCTCACACCCCACTCACACCTCACTCCTCACTCACACCTCACTCCGCTCACACCTCACTCACACCTCACTCACTCCTCACTCACACCTCACTCATCACTCACACCTCACTCACACCTCACTCCCCTCACTCCTCACTCACTCTTCACTTACACCTCACTCCGCTCACACCTCACTCACTCCTCACTCACACCTCACTCACACCTCACTCCTCACTCACACCTCACTCACACCTCACTCCTCACTCACACCTCACTCCTCACTCACACCTCACTCCTCACTCACACCTCACTCCCCTCACACCTCACTCACACCTCACTCACACCTCACACCTCACTCACACCTCACTCCCCTCACATCTCACTCACACCTCACACACACCTCACTACTCACTCACACCTCACTCCCCTCACTCCTCACTCACACCTCACTCACACCTCACTCCCCTCACACCTCACTCACACCTCACTCACACCTCACTCCTCACGCACCCCTCACTCACTCCTCACTCACACCTCACTCCCCTCACACCTCACTCCTCACTCACACCTCACTCACACCTCACTCCTCACTCCCCTCACTCCTCACTCACACCTCACTCTTCACTCGCACCTCACTCCCTTCACTCCTCACTCACACCTCACTCCCCTCACTCCTCACTCCTCACTCACTCCTCACTTACACCTCACTCCTCACTCACACCTCACTCCTCTCACACCCCACTCCTCACTCACACCTCACTCCTCACTCCCCTCACTCACACCTCACTCCCCTCACACCTCACTCCTCACTCACACCTCACTCACTCCTCACTCCCCTCACACCTCACTCACACCTCACTCCCCTCACACCTCACTCCTCATTCACACCTCACTCCTCTCACTCCTCACTCACACCTCGCTCCCCTCACACCTCACTCCTCACTCACACCTCACTCACTCCTCACTCCCCTCACACCTCACTCACACCTCACTCCCCTCACACCTCACTCCTCACTCACACCTCACTCCCCTCACACCTCACTCCTCACTCACACCTCACTCACTCCTCACTCCCCTCACACCTCACTCCTCATTCACACCTCACTCCTCTCACTCCTCACTCACACCTCGCTCCCCTCACTCCTCACTCACACCTCACTCACTCCTCACTCCCCTCACACCTCACTCACACCTCACTCCCCTCACACCTCACTCCTCACTCACACCTCACTCCCCTCACACCTCACTCCTCACTCACACCTCACTCACTCCTCACTCCCCTCACTCCCCTCACACCTCAGTCACATCTCACTCCTCACTCACTCCCCTCACACCTCACTCCTCTCACACCTCACTCCTCACTCACACCTCACTCACTCCTCACTCCCCTCACTCCTCACTCACACCTCACTCCTCACTCACATCTCACTCCCCTCATACCTCACACACACCTCACTCCCCTCACACCTCACTCCTCACTCACACCTCACTCACTCCTCACTCACACCTCACTCCCCTCACACCTCACTCCTCACTCACACCTCACTCCTCACTCACACCTCACTCCCCTCACACCTCACTCACACCTCACTCACACCTCACTCACACCTCACTCCTCACTCACACCTCACTCCTCACTCACACCTCACTCACACCTCACTCCCCTCACACCTCACTCACACCTCACTCCCTTCACTCCTCACTCACACCTCACTCCCCTCACTCCTCACTCACACCTCACTCCTCACTCACACCTCACTCACACCTCACTCCTCACTCACACCTCACTCCCCTCACACCTCACTCCCCTCACACCTCAGTCACACCTCACTCCTCACTCACACCTCACTCACTCCTCACTCCCCTCACACCTCACTCACACCTCACTCCCCTCACACGTCACTCACACCTCACTCCTCACACCTCACTCCCCTCACTCCTCACTCCCCTCACTCCTCACTCCCCTCACTCCTCACTCACACCTCACTCATCACTCACACCTCACTCACACCTCACTCCCCTCACTCCTCACTCACACCTCACTCCTCACTCACACCTCACTCACACCTCACTCACTCCTCACTCACACCTCACTCCTCACTCCCTCACTCCTCACTCACACCTCACTCCTCACTCACACCTCACTCACTCATCACTCACTCCTCACTCCCCTCACTCCTCACCCCTCAGCGCGTCCCCCGCCTGTCGCCCTCGCCCCGCTCGCTCCTCCGGGCCCGCCCCCTGCAGGGCGCCTCCCCCCGCGCTCCTCTCGCGCATCCAGACGCCGACGCCGCCACCCCCACCCTCATGCAGGGTTCGGGGCCGCCGCATCACCACGGGCAGGACGACGAGGAGGAGACAGAGACGCGGGGAGACGCCGAGACAGAGACAAACACGCGGACACGGGGCGGAGACATGGGGAGACGCAGAGATAGGGGAACATCCTGAGAGACGCTGAGATTCGAGGAGTCGGCGGGAGAGGAGGGGGTGGTGGTAGGTGGTAGGGGGTGGTAGGGGGTAGGGGGTAGTAGGTGGTAGGGGGTAGGTGGTGGTAGGGGGTAGGGGGTGGTAGGGGGTGGCCACAGCGACTGGGCGGGGGGGGAGACGCGGGCCTCGTCTCGTTGTCTCCGAGCCCCCGGGCCGCGGTTCTGGCCGTGCGGGGATCGCGGCCATGCGAGGAGGCGAGAGCCGGCATCCTCCATCCTCGCCTCCATCCTCGCCTCCTCCATCTTCCCCTACTCCCACAGCGTCTCCATCGTCTCGCCGCCCATCGCCCTCGTGGTGTTCGCGTTTAGCGGGCGCGGGGAGGAGGTGGAGGAGGTGGCCCTGCGCTGCGTGACCACGGCCCCGCACCCCGTCCAGAGGCGAGACACTCACCCCTCATCACACACACAGAGTCGACCCTTACAGTAGTGGTGAGACACTCACCCCTCATCACACACACAGAGTCGACCCTTACAGTAGCGGTGAGACACTCCTCATCACACACACACAGAGTCGACCCTCACAGTAGCGGTGAGACACTCACCCCTCATCACACACACAGAGTCGACCCTTACAGTAGCGGTGAGACACTCACCCCTCATCACACACACAGAGTCGACCCTTACAGTAGTGGTGAGACACTCACCCCTCATCACACACACAGCAGTCGACCCTTACAGTAGCGGTGAGACACTCACCCCTCATCACACACGCAGAGTCGACCCTTACAGTAGCGGTGAGACACTCACCCCTCATCACACACAGAGTCGACCCTTACAGTAGCGGTGAGACACTCACCCCTCATCACACACACAGAGTCGACCCTTACAGTAGTGGTGAGACACTCACCTCTCATCACACACAGAGTCGACCCTTACAGTAGTGGTGAGACACTCACCCCTCATCACACACAGAGTCGACCCTTACAGTAGCGGTGAGACACTCACCCCTCATCACGCACACAGAGTTGACCCTTACAGTAGTGGTGAGACACCCCTCATCTCAAACAGAGGCATGCGTTACACGTGACAGACCTCGGAGTGGTGTCAGGGCTAGGAGTGGTGTCAGGGCTAGGAGTGGTGTCAGGGTTAGGGCTAGGAGTGGTGTCAGGGCAAGGAGTGGTGTCAGGGTCAGGGCTAGGAGTGCTGTCAGGGTCAGGGGCGTTGTCAGGGTCACGGGCGTTGTCAGGGTCAGGGCTAAGAGTGGTGTCTGGGCTAGGAGTGGTGTCAGGGCTAGAAGTGGTGTCAGGGCTAGGAGTGGTGTCAGGGCTAGGAGTGGTGTCAGGGTCAGGACTAGGAGTGGTGTCAGGGCTAGGAGTGGTGTCAGGGTCAGGGTTAGGTGTGGTGTCAGGGTTAGGTGTGGTGTCTGGGCTAGGAGTGGTGTCAGGGCTAGAAGTGGTGTCAGGGTCAGGGCTAGGAGTGGTGTCAGGGCTAGGAGTGGTGTCAGGGTCAGGGCTAGGAGTGGTGTCAGGGCTAGGAGTGGTGTCAGGGTCAGGGTTAGGTGTGGTGTCAGGGTTAGGTGTGGTGTCTGGGCTAGGAGTGGTGTCAGGGCTAGGAGTGGTGTCAGGGTCAGGGCTAGGAGTGTTGTCAGGGCAAGGAGTGGTGTCAGGGTTAGGGCTAGGAGTGCTGTCAGGGTCAGGGGCGTTGTCAGGGTCACGGGCGTTGTCAGGGTCAGGGCTAGGAGTGGTGTCAGGGCTAGGAGTGGTGTCAGTGCTAGAAGTGGTGTCAGGGTCAGGGCTAGGAGTGGTTTCAGGGCTAGGAGTGGTGTCTGGGCTAGGAGTGGTGTCAGGGCTAGAAGTGGTGTCAGGGCTAGAAGCGGTGTCAGGGTCAGGGCTAGGAGTGGTGTCAGGGTTGGGTGTGGTGTCTGGGCTAGGAGTGGTGTTAGGGCTAGGAGTTGTATGAGGGCTAGGAGTGGTGTCAAGGCTAGGAGTGGTGTCCATGGTCAGGGCTAGCAGTGGTGTCAGGGCTAGGATTTGTATAAGGGCTAGGAGTTTTGTCAGGGCTAGGAGTGGTGTCAGGGCTAAGAGTCGTGTCATGGTCAGGGCTAGGAGGGGTGTCAGGGTTAGGGAGGTTTCGGTTTGTAATGTAGGTTTGGGTTAAGCCAACCCTAATTTATGAGAGTTCAATCCAACTCATGTTCTATAGCACATAATACCGCCGTGTTTTTCATCATTGCAGTGTTTACTTGTGGCAGCACTGTTGGAGTATGTGTGCAGACTTCACGATTTTGATGCTCTCTGCCCATGCCAACAATGACAGCAGAGTAGTGACTAATTTACAGCAGCATCCCATCTCTGTTGTTCCTGAGTCACCCAGCTTGGCCTTCTAACAGTAATCGCAGATCTCAGTGAGCTCTCCTGTTGTAAAATGTATTGTTCATTTTGTTTAACCACGTGATGATAACTCAAGAGACCAGGGTAGTAGTCTAATTTTCAAGAGTGGCCTGGTCACCAAAAGTTACAACGGTTTTATATGAAGGACATGAGTTACTCTCCTGTATTATCAGCCATTGCTAGATTCTTCAGTGCGTTTTTTTTTCGCAATAGGCTTCAATCACATTAATGTTTTTGAAGTCGCTCTCCCACAACGTGACCTCGTGTGTGGACGTTCCTATGCTGCTACCCAGCAAATGACCCACTCACCCGTGACCTCACGCTGACCTTTCGTGCCACCCCATGCACGGCGTCCGTACTGGTGTCAGGCCACAGATAATTCCTGCTGCTCAAATAAGCGTCTAGGTCATTGCTGCTCATCTCCTGTTCACGGCTCTGAAGGCAGTGGTGAAGTTCCACATTCCTGTGGTAGGGGCGAGTCTAATCCATTCGACAACTGCTATTGACTTCCCCACTTGTTTTATGAACCCCAGAGGAAGGGATAATGGTCTGTGTCAACCCCCCCCAATCAGGATTTTAACTCGTAACCTTCCGATTGTGAGCCACTCACCCTACTGCCAAGAAGCCACCCGGCCAGTGTGTACTGGTGGCGTACGGTCCGATATTTATGTGGGATGCTGCATCTCTCCAGAAGGCCGTCCGTATCAGTAGAGCACAGGCCAGTGCATGCCAGTGGAATCCCAGATGAAGCCCCGTGGCAGGGGCCTCTGCTCATGCTCGAGCATCGTACGCCCAGCAAGGCTAGAGGCTCATCAATGCACGTACAGTGTTGTTATGACGGGGAGACGGTCATAACACACAACACCGTTATCTTTGTGCAATTGGTGCTGTGCTTATTAGCATATGTGGGATGCTTCCATGTACATCGCGTGTGTGAAGGATGTGTGCATGCTGCATCACTGTGAATTAAGCCTCTCCTGCCTTCTGAAAGCACCGAATCCTGTGCTTGCTGCACACCACGCGCTTACATTCCTTTTTATTCACTGCACCTCTGTAGATGAGGCACCGTGTTGGAGGGCTGTCGCCCAGTTAAAAGCAGGATTTACTGTCCTCTGTCACCCCGTTCCTGTGGGCCGGTGAGTGTTGTATTCCCTGGGTTTCACCTAGGTTCTCCCGTTTTCTTCCCGTGCACAAACACTGCTTAGAATGCAATTGGAAAAATGGGCTTCGTGCATGATCCTCAAGATTAAGAGTCCTGAGACTCATTGAGGATTCCTTGGATAAATACCAGCCGTATTTGTGTAGCCCAAATTCATTTCAACAATCTCCAGCTATTTTAATATTTTAATTTTGCATGGACAAATATGTTTAGGAGTTGTAGCTGCCATGGTAATACGTTGTGTGTGTTTAATGCTCTTTTAAGTCTTCATTGTGAGTCGATGAAGGGTAGACGTTGCCTGTGAAATTTCACACCAGCCCCATGCCAGACGCCAGCATCTCATGCGCCAATCTCCCTCCCTCCCTCCTCGCCTGCACGTCCCAGGCCAGGCACTCACACAGCCCAGGCAGGAAATCTATGCGAGGGACTGTGGCCTACTGGAGCTGTGAAAGCCATAAAACAATCACGGCATGTCGTGAAAAATAAGCCTGAGTGGATGAAATTAACGTCATTGTGAGACTTGCGTGATGTAGAAAGGGGATTTCATTATTGGATCCCTGCCCATACTCGTCCCGGCGTCTCACAATGCGACTTGCAGGTTTGGGACAGAGTGGCAGGAGCCACCGGTGTGTGACGGCTGCTGAGATGAGATTTGAATCCAGGCGTGGTGCCAGAGTCGGTCAACCAGTGCGGGTGGTGGCAGCAGCCCTCTGTGCACTCTCTCACTGTCCCTTGCCTCGTGCAACTGGGAGATGAGGAAACGGCCATAAAACAACGCATTGCACCTGCTTCTGTTGCACGGTCAAGGGCGCTCAATCGGTGATGTCTAAGACCTTGCAGGAATCGTCGTTCGTCGTATGAAGATGAATACCGTTTTGGATACGGTTTTGGATGCCGTCGGAAGTTACCGGGTGGTTTTGGAGCTTTTGGCGGTCGGCGCGCTAGCCGTTGGGTCAGTCTGCGTTTTAAATCTGCATTACTTAATATAGCTCATACCGATATGTGGCTGGCCCGCTTGCACTGTATCGCCGTAAATCACCCGCTCGCATTGCGTGCACAAGGACAGTCCAGTGGCCATTGTGCTCCCTACCCGGCCAGTTCCCACAGCCAACGGCTCAATTCCTGCACGTGCCTGGTGATTTCTAATGAAACCATAACCAGATAAAGCCCAGTAACATGATATGTCTCATTGTATTGGGCGTGGGTGTTCACGCACCGGTTATGTTTGATTCCCAGTATCAGTGATGAGTGATATCTAAACCAATCCTCGTCACTGCCCCACTTCACTATCCCACGCTGATCTGCATGGTTACATGTGCTCAAACAACCCCCATGACTAACACGGCATGTTGGGGAGGCCTTTGTACAGCATCGGATTAATACTGGTAGGAACGAAGTTGTAAACTGAGTGTACCAGTCTGCAATAGATTAATGCGTCCGTCCGTCCCCTTTCAATACTTTAACGAAGTGAAATCTCGTGCTGTTGGGTGTAAGATCAGCAATAGACAGTGCAGAGACTTGTCCTACTAGCCCACCTTGCAGGGACCTCTTATTCAAACAAATCTACATTATTGGTAAGAGCGTGTTGCAATTTGCACATGTCCAGTCTCAAATCCCATCCTGGTTTTAGAGAAGTAGGTTTAACCATTTCAGCAAAGATATTAATGGGCTCTCATCAGGATAAATACAGGATATTCAATGAATACAACACTGCGTGGGGAGACACAGAGTCTGGATCAATCTCAATATGGGGTTTATTTGCCTTTCATGAGCACTGTTGTGAGCTTCAGTTGTGAGACACAATAGTGGCCATGTGCCCCATTGAGTCACGACCCTTCATTTTGAAGAGTTGTTGCCCTGGAGATCAATATTCGGTCAACGGGTTGATG